ATGTTCCTGGTAGTTTTTGGTTGGAGGGCATTGCTATTCATGATTTTTGACAAGGCAGTTTTACTTCAAGGCATTGATCATACAGAAATATTCAAACAAGCATCTCTCTATATAAATCTATCTATCTATAGATAGATACAGATAGATATAGATATAGATATAGATATAGATATAGATATAGATATAGATATAGATATAGATATAGATATAGATATAGATATAGATATAGATATATAGATATAGATATAAAAGCCTAAGTGATCTTTACAACTAGTCAACTGAATGACCAGTCGGCTGGTTGTTATGACGCACACTGATGACCAGGGGGGAGATGCTCAACACAGGAGCTGCTCCCTTGTGGTCAGTGTGCTCCCACAACCAACCTCCCACAATTCCTCCCCATGGATGGCTGGCCCCAATTGGCCCCAATCACTGGCCAGGCCAAGTGACCCACCTGTGCATGAATTCATGCACCAGGCCTCTATTAAAGATATAAACAGAGTCATCAATTTTCACAGAAAAAAGAATATACAAATATGCTGAAGAATATGAAAGAACATGCTAAAAAGTATGTTGCATAAAATTATAAAATGCTAATGAGTGAAATTAAAGATTATCTAAATGAGATATTCAGAGGTGGGCAAAAGTTGGTTTATAGTTGTGAATACACAAATCAGTTTATTCTTGTATTATTTACTAAAGGTCCAGAGCATGAAATTTGTGTACTTGGCGGGGGGGGAGGGGGTGTCCCTCAGCCCAACCTGCATCCTTTCCAATCTGAGATCCCTCTCACAATTTGGGACTGCTGTCTCCCAACCACTTGCCTGCCTGCCAGCCTGATCATCCCCCTAACCACTCCCCTGCCAGCCTGATCGATGCCTAACTGCTCTCCTACTGGCCTGATCTCCCCAACTGCCCTTCCCTGCAGGCCCAGTAACCTCCAACTGCCTTCCCCTGCTGTCCTAGTCACCCTAGCTGCCCTCCCCTGCCAGCCCAGTCTCCCCTAACTGCCCTCCCCTGCAGGCCTGGTCCCCCACAACTGCCCTCCCTTCAGGCTGGCCTAATCACCCACAACTACCCTCCTCTGCTGGTCTGGATCCCCCAACTTCCCTCCTCTGCTAGCCCAGTGACCCCTAACTGCCCTCCCCTGCAAGCTATCTTGTGTTGGCCATCTTTGACCACTGGGGCAGCCATCTTGTGCGAGGGTGTGAGGGTCAATATACATATTACTTCTTTATTACACAGGATTAACCAGAGGCCTAGTGCACAAAATTTGTGCACTCAGGGGGATCCCTCAGCCTAGCCTGCACCCTCTGGAAATCTGGGATCCTTGGGAAATGGGGAGCTTAGGCCCGCTCCCCATCAGTTGGGCATTCTTAGTGCTGCCGCAGAGGTGGGAGAGGCTCCCACCACTGTTGATGTACTTGCTGCCTGGTTCAGGGCTTCTGGCTGAGCAGCGCTCCCCTTGTGGGAGCACATTGACCACAAAGGGGCAGCTCCTGTGTTGAACACCTGCCCCTGGTGGTCAATGCATGTCATAGCGACGGGTCATTCTGTTGTTCAGTCGATTTGCATATTAGCCTTTTATTATATAGGTTTATCATATTATTTATATTTACAAACACCTTTAAACCTACTTTTGTCCCCTGCATATTCTCTTAATAGGTCAGAAGATTGAATATTGTTAAAATGTCAGTTATCCCCAAATTGATCTATTGTTCAAAGCTATCTCAACCAAAATCCCAACTGGAGTTTGATAGAAACTGACAAGCTGATTCTAAAATTCATATGGTGCTCATGTACTCCATGGCGCCTCCCACTATTAGGCCCACTGGTATTTATACTCTTAATTTTGCTCTTTGGCACCTGCCTCATGTGCTGTTTTACTAGTCTCTTGCAGAACAGAATGCAGGTGTTCGCCAATCAGAAGGTGGGAGAGATCTCTCTGGAACTGAATTCAGAACCTAACACCAGAATCCTTGAGACCCCCCAAGTAGACACCGTAAATGATGCCCCCTCTCAGCTGGAAGCAGTTATGGAAGATAGACCTCCAGCCCCTGACCCTCTGCCTGGACTCTCAATATTTTAAATATAATATATCAAAGAGTCTGGAATGTGAGATCCTCCCTCCCCCCAACTAGTGGGCGGAGTTATGACATTACTGGCATCTGCCACAGAGACATCCCCAAGATATTGAACCACCAATCAGCACGTGCCAAAGTGCCCTGGAGCCTACCCCTTCCTGTTCCACCCTGGGTCCAACCCTTTCCTGTTCCTCCCTTCAAAAGGCTCCCCCAGCCCTCCACATGCTGCTCTCTCCATCTCTGTCTCTGAAGGCAGCCTGGCTGGGTCCTTTCTCCTCTCCCCTCTCCTTTAATTCTGATTTCCCTGCCTCCATAATGAGTCCCGCTCATTTATTCCCCATAAGGGGAATAAACCTTACTTTAATATGTAAAAATAAAATAAAATAAAAAATAAATAAAATAAAATAAAAATACAATAAAATTCATATGGAAAAACATGAATAATAACCAAAAATAACCTTGCAAATAATAATGTTAGAGGACTCACACTGTCTGATTCAAGACATTATAAAGCTATAGCAATGTATAGAAAATGTAAGTTAAACATATACTTATCACATGATCCAGCTATCCCACTCCTAGGTATTTATCCAAGAGAAAAGCAACAGTTGTACATGAATGTTGATAGCAGCTTTATTTCTAATAGCCCAAATCTGGAAACAACCCAAATTTTCATCAACAGGTAAATGGATAAGCAAACGGATATAATCATATTGTGGAATACTACTTGACAATAAAGAGTAATTACTATTGATACAGATAACATGGATGGATCTCAAATAATTATAGTAAGTGAAAGAAGCCAGACATCCTCAAAAGAATACATGTGCGGATTCCATTTAGATAAAACTGGTAGCCCAGTGCACAAAATTCATTCACATTAAAAGGGAATTAGAGGAAATATTTTAATATTGCTATTTGCCCTTTCTCTGTAATTGAAGTGTCAGAAATGAAAGAAAATTAGTAAAATGTATATAAAAATCTCCCTCCTGTCAGAGTCTGGAACATGCTATGGAACCCAGAGTCAAGTCCCAACCCACCCGCATGTGCCTCAAATCGTGCAAGACCCAGCCCCAGCCAGACCCACCCCCCTTGGGCTAGATCCAGACTCGGCTGGTCCCACCCCCTTCAAACTCTGCCAGTCAGGGACATAACCTCAGGTACCCATTATCGCACATGGGGTGGGAGGCACAGCCTCAGGTCTCCCAGTGCATGCTGGGTGAGGATCACAGCCACAGGTCCCCTGGCACACCCTCAGGGCCCCTGCCCAGCACTAGGGCGCATGGTCTGAAGTCCCCTGGCCTGGCACTTGAGTGGGGGACATGCTTTGAGGTCCCCCATCAAGCCCTGCCAGGCAGGGGGCACAGGCTCAGATCCCCTGGCTTAGCAAAGGAGGTGCACTTTTCGGGGTGTGCGGCCTGAGGACCCCTATCAAGCCCCACTGGGTGGGGGATGCAGCTTCAGGTCCCCCGCCCTGGCCCAGCACCACACCTCCTCAGGTCCCTGATCGCTCTTTATTGGAATCCTGTCTCTGCTGTGGGCACAGCCATTTGTGATGGTGTGAGGGTTAATTTGCATATCACCTCTTTATTATATAGAATTACAGAAAATGAGAATGATTCTATCCTACCTAATAAAAGAGTAATATGCAAATTAGCCATCACTGCACTCCACAAGCCATGCCACAAGCCAATCAGAGCTAGTATGCAAATAAACCCAACCAAGATGGCTACAGCCACAGAGAGCAGGAGGGAGAAATTTCCCAGGCAACGGAAGAAACCAAGCTTCCTGGCCTACACCTCCACTCCAGGCTACAAAGTTTCAATTATAGAAGGTAAATAAATTCCAGATACCAGGGCCTCCACTTGGGTCGCTGGGGGGCGTGGCCAGCCTGCAAACCACCACAGGCCCCTCACCCAGGCCACCCTATGCCCCAAGAAAACCCCCACCCTGATCCTGGACACCCTTCAGGGCAAACCAGCTGGCCCCCACCCATGCAGCAGGCCTCTATCCTATCTAATAAAAGAGTAATATGCAGATTGACCATCACTCCAACACACAATAGCTGCCCCCATGTGGTCAAAGATCCTGCTCCCATGTGGACACAAGATGGCCAGCAGGGAGGCCAGTTGGGAGGTACCAGGCCTGCAAGCGAGGGCAGTTGAAGGCGTTCAACTCTGCAGGGGAGGGCAGTTAGGCGTAACCTGGCCAGCAGAGGAGGGAAGTTGGGGGCAAACAGGCTGGCAGGGGAGCAGTTATATATTAATCAGGCTGGCATGGGAGTGGTTAGGGGATGATTAGGCTGGCAAGCAGAAGCGGTTAGGGGCAATCAGTAAGGCAGGCAGGCGAGCAGTTGGGAGCCAGCAGTCCTGGGTTGTGAGAGGGATGTCCGACTGCCATTTTAGGCCCGATGCCTTCGGGTCTAAATGGGCAGACATCTCTTGAGGGGTCTCAGATTGGAGAGGGTGCAGGCTGGGCTGATGGACACCCCCCCCCCCATGCATTAATTTCGTGCACCCGGCCTCTAATATTGTCATCAAGCAGATCAATGGTTGTCTGAGGACAAGGAGACAATGAATGGTAGGAGGGAGGGGACTACAAAGGAACTTTTCAGGGTAGTAGGTATGTTCACATATCTTGACTGTGGTGATTGTTTCATGTGTGTATACATATGTCAAAACTTATCAAATTGAATACTTTGAATATGTATGGGTTAATGTATGCCAATTATATCTCAATAAAAAGCATCTGGCAGATATGTTTAATACTATAATTGAAAAAAATAACTGGAAAGATGAAAAAGCAAGTTGCAGAACACTACAGCCTTATTTTTGCAAGAGAATTTGTGCATATTATTTAAGAGTATATGTAATAAAAGATTAGGCAACATGCACCAACTGTTAACACACACACAAATTGAGTGATTCAAAAATATGTTGCAGTTACATTTATTGACATGCAAAGATATTCACAATATACAGATAGTGGGGGGAAAGAAAGTTATAAAAATTAATTTACAGTATGATCTTGTGTTAAACTGTTTAAATGAATCTTTAAAACCAGTCTCTGAGCCTTCAATACCACCACCTAAAAAAGTGAGGACTGTAAGGTAGCATATTAAATGTTGGGTTTTTTAAAATAGAACAACCTCTATGGGAATCTAGGCAAAAAGTATTTAACCTCCCCAATTCTCATTGGAGATGATCCACAATGAGTTATATAAAAAAGAAATAACTACCAGTACCTAGACTCACAGGACCATTGCCAAAAGAGGGGAAAAAACTGTATAGTGCCAACACATTGCCTGACATAAGAGCAGGTACTCAGCAAATGTTTCCTCCTTATACCTACCTCCTTTCTCTTCTGTGAAATGACCTTGACATAATGAAATAGCCTAACAATGAGTTATAAATGTAGTAGTGACATTTAAAAGTGAATCTTACATTTAACTAGGATTCGGGGCCATTTCTGGGTTGTAGAATATGCTATATGATGTAGGCAGAATAGGAGGAAAATGAACTCATATTAAACATAGAAACACCTACCTTCATGTTGAGAGCGTACATTTCACAATGAGAGTGTGCAAATACAGTATGATCTGTTAATTACCTTTTTGTGTGTATATGCCTTACTTCTGCAACTAGATTATAAATTAAGGCTTTTTTTTTTTTTTTTTTGCCATTTGAAGCCACAAATGGATCTAAGCAGATACTATTGAACAAGTTAGCTTACTTAGGATGAACTGGTTCACTAATTTCTTAAGTAAAACGTTGAAAAGTGCCCCATCTACACAAGATAAAAATCAGCATTTTCAATTCATCATGTAATAATACTTGTTATCCAAAAAAATGGTCTAGTTCAAACCTAGAGACTACCACAAATAAGTGTTAAAGATGTCATTTATAATGTGCACACTGTAACACTGTAACAAACAAAATATTATGCAAGGCTCTTTGAGAACAGACAGCCTATCAGAATTTGGAGATTGTTCTGTGTTCTATTTCTGGTTCATTTTACAGTTTTTGAATAATCGCTTTAACTTCACGGAAAATGTCCATGAGTGTATTGTAATTAGAGTGATCGACAACTACAATTGTTCCCTTTCTGATATGCTCCTTTATGTTAATAAATATGGCCACAGTACTAACGAGATTGGCTTTTGCTTCTTTCTGGTTAAAGAGTAGTTTTAACGCTGCCAATGCCTTTATATCGATCATGTCTCTGGCTGCAACTGGGTTTTCAGACATATTCAAAAGTACTTTCAAAGCAAGATTTCTGGTTTTACGATTTCCCTGGGAAATCAAATAAAAAAGATCTGAAAGATAACAGGCAACAATATGGTGACGGTTCATATCAGTAGTCAGTTGCCCCAGTATTTTTAAGCCAGATTGCTGTCCAGGTGAGTTCAAGGGAAAACACATGGTTTCCTTACACATATGTTTAACATGTAATTCAACCCTGCGGAGTCTTTCATCCCCAGTAGGGTTATTCACAGTAATTTCAGCATTTTTTCTCGTATCAGAGGGAGGAAAAGTAAGCAAGCTTTCAACAAGTGTCACTATACCCACCTCATTAATGAAATCTTGGGCAAATGGATGAACCTTAACGACCCCCATTGCAATTTGAGCTACTTTATGAATGAGAGGATCAGTAGTTGACTCAAGTAAGACAACCAGTTGTTCAAATTCCTCAGAATTCATGTAACATTCCATTTTGCAAGGACAAGCAAATGGCTTAATCCCATTCATCTCCCTGATCTTGATTTGGCGTCTAATCTCCTCTATAGTCTGAATGCAAGGGTCAGTACCAAATGGGTGCTCCGGGAGAGGCTCTGAGCATGAGACTATGCTCTTAGAACCCTCTGGGTCCTCAGGCAAAACAGGAGCTTTTTCCTCAGGTGAGCCCAGGACAATATATTGCGACTTTGTCTCAGATGTGCTTTGAGATCTATATCCTAACACTGCTGGAGTTACGGCAGGGGCATTGGGCCAGATAGTTACCTCAGACCAGTCCTTGGGCCTATCTTTTTCATTGATTTCATCCAAAAGCAGGGGCCTAACTATTCTGCTCACAGGTTTAGGATCAGGGTCAAAACTAGTTTCATCTCCATCCCAAAACCAGTTCCCAATAACATTATCTTCCTCCTCCTCTTCAGCCCCTGGCGTAGCTTTATAGCTAGCGCTGGCCACAGGCTTCAACTTCTCAGCACAGGATGGGGGACCAGTATCAGCTTTATCTTCATCCTTGGCACTGGAACTATTATTAGTCTCTTCTCTATTCCAGAACCTAGAACCAACATTGGTCTCTTCCCCCGCACAGGTATCAATACCAGCCTTATCTTTACACATGGACTTGGTCTTAGCACTGACCTTAGCCACAGAACGACACCGAGACACTTGAGTGGCCTCATTTTCAACTTTGGGACTGAAATTTGCTGGGGCTCTCTCTTTCTTCTCAATAACAATCTTCTTCTTAGACACTGCCTTCACCTCTGCCACTGCATTTGCCTTCACCTCTGTCTTGGCCATTGCTTTGGCCTGGGTCTTGGCTACAGGTTTGCCTATGTCAGTAGCTTTCCTGCCAAGAGCTTCCCTCTTTGTTTTACCTTCTACACCAGCCCTTTTTGCAGTTTTGCCCTTGTTTCTTTTCCCAGCCATGGTTAAAGCCCAGTTGTATGGAAAGCCCTAGAGAGTCTTGGCCTTGGTTCTCAAAGGGTCCCAGGTCAATATGTTGACACTTTCATGGGATCAGAGACAAACTTTGTAGCAAGAGTTAAGTCAACTGTCAGTTCAGCAGTTACACTGTTCCCTTTCTGAACACAAAACTTCTGTCAATGATACAGACAGAGGGCAGAGGCACTCAGACTGAGGGAAGATGATGGTTCCTGAGTGCAGACTTGCTGAAAGTGGGAATCTTCCACCACTCCAAGGCCACCACAGTCACCGCTGGAGACGGACCTAAGATGGAAGAAGGCAATGGGCTTTAAGCCTTTTCCAACTGTGCTCATCTATGCAGACAGCCAAACAGGACATGAGAGAGTAGAGATGAACTGTTTGGTAGGAGAAGTAGAAGTTACCTCATTTTATCCCTTCCACATTCCTACTAACGCCCAACATCCTGTTCAGGTACTACCACACTCTTCTCTGCATTAAATAGGATCAGGGATGATGGGAAAGATTGCTGAAAGAGACAGAGGCTACAAAATATCCAGTCCCTTTGGTATATACCACTATACTATCCAGGTCTATCCAGGTAGGTCTCACACCAACCTGCACTGATCTTCCTTTCTTTATTGCTTCCAGTGTTGATAAACCCTACAGCTGAAATCACAGGCAAACCTATGGACAAAAACAGGAGGGACTGGAATTCAGTTCCAGTAGACAGACATACACTTTGGTGTCTAGACCCAACACCTAGGTATCTTTCCAGATCTGGGCTTTGGTTATACAGTTGGCCCTCGAACAATGCAAGGTTTGGGGTGCTGAAGTTGGAAATCTATGGATAAAGTTGGCTCTCCACATACATAGATTCTCATCCACAGAGTTGAACCGTGAACAATGTAGGTTTGAATTGCAGTCAGTAGAACTCTGTGGATCAACTCAATTGTGGTAAACTGAAAAAAATCCTCATATAGGCAGACCCACACAGTTCAAACCCATGTTGTTCAAGGGTCAACTGCATGTTTCTGGCTTTGTCCTCCTCATGGTTTCCCTCCCCATTTCCTGGGTGTCCGTCAATTTCCCTATAAGCACACTCCTGTCTCACCCCTCCCCCATTTGCTAAACATGAATGTGAGGGCACAGCTGTCTAGAATGCTGGAAGACAATGGCTCCATCTGTCTCACCCACTTCCCAACCCCAATTAATAGGGGTGCTCATGCTCACACTCACCTTGGATCCAAATGAACAATTTTGGTCTTCTTTCTTAATTAAATTCAAAGTCAACAGCTACCTGCAGATTTCTACAGGAACAGATAAATGAATAAACCTACAGAGATAAACAGGCAGAGGAGAGAAAACAGAAGAGACTGAGATAGCCCAACACTCATGAAAAGTGTTACATGATTTTGTACATTCAAGGTCATGTTATATGTTTCCCATCTGTCTGTTCTTGCCCAATGAGCCCTTATTCATTCCCCTAAAAACTGCAGTTTGTCTTATTACATACATCTCCCAACTCTGAAGTCAGCCATTTTTCCCAGCAGAGGCCACACTTCTTTTCCCTGAACAAAAATATGAGGTGCAAGAGTGGGTAGTGAAAATAAGCAATGTATTTAGAAAGAAGGCAGGAGAGAGAATGGGGACTATTCTTTCAATAGGATCTTTGCATGCCCCAGCCCTTTCCTCTTTATGCACACATACTAGTGGATGCTCTCATTCACCACCTACACCAGCCAGCCCCCAGTAGGGGATCTCAGGAGATACTCTTTCCCACCAAAGAACAGTCTTCTAGTTCGAGATGAGTCATGCCAAACAGAAAGAGGGAGAAGTTTTCTGCAAAACACCAGGAAAATGTTGACAATAGAAAAGTATCAGGTTAATGGACATATACCTAGAATTCAGGTCCTAACACCTCCTTTGCAAGAATCAGGAAATAAGTAAATAAATCTCTCAGCACCCATGGTTCCTCAGGTGCCCAGCTTTTGTGAGACTGCCTCTGCACCAAAATGACAGAGGCTGTGAAGGGTTTATGGAGATGGAATTTGGTTTGAAATGAGCAGACTGACTTCATACATTAGAAATGGACTCTTCAGAAAACTGTCCCCTCTATTCTGAACCACCATTCCCTCAATATATTAAAGTAGGCTGCGGTGTTGAGTAAACAGTTGCCAAATAAGAAAGGTGAATTAACAGCACTCTATTTGTTTATATGGACCCTTCCCCGTGAAAATCGATAGGCTTCTCAGCCTGTCATTTGGTTGAATTTAATTTGGTGCAAAATCTAAACACGGAAGGAAATAAAACTGCTGTATTAAGAGGCGGATAATCATTTCATTTTGGTGTATTCTTGATTTAACTAGAGTCTTGCTTTTGCTTAAAACTCCAGGCCTACCACGCAAACATGAGACTTTGGCATCAACGAGGTGCCTGTGGGAAGGGAGAGCACCCAGAACGCAGGGCCCCAACAGGCCCCAGAGTAGCCTCAGCCATCGCCCCCGCCCCCGTGACCCCAGCCCCAGCCCCAGCTCCGGCCCGTTCCACTCTGCCATTTCTCCCCCAGGACCCTCCCCGCAGCCCTCTCCCAGCAGACACCCCGAAGGAAGGCAGCGCGGACGCCAGGAGAGCTGGCTCGGGAGCAGAGGCCCCGAGCCGCTCCGGCCAGGGTTCCGGAGCCGCATCTCCCCAGGGACCGGCTCCCGCAGCCCGGGGCGCCGCCTCCTCCCGGGGTGCCAGGGTCCGGACTCGGACTCGGACTCAGGCTGAAAGCTGGTGGAGAGTGGGGACCCTCCGCCCCCACTTGCCTTTACAGGCTCAGGGCCCGGTGATCCTGCTCCCTCCTCTCACAGCTCCCCACTCAGATGCCCACAGCCTTCCGCCACCTTCCCAGCGCCTGGAGCTGCAGAGGCGGCCGCAGGCTGCAACAGAACCGCTGGCAGGAGGGTGTTGGAAAGGGGCGGAGGGATACTCGGGCGAATGGCCGACGCCCCCCAGGCCCACCTAGTTCCGACCCGAGAGGGCGGGGCCGGCGGGGCGGCCAGGGGAGAGCCGGCCCGAGGGTCAGGTGGGCACCACCCCCTACCTGGCGACCTCCCCGCTGCAGTGCCTCTCCGGGCGCTCCAATCTAGGGGGCGGGCGGGGGTCTGGGGGGGCAGATGGGGAGGCCCACGGAGCTGCGCTGGCCGCAGCAGCGGAAGGATACCAGCCGCCCTTGGTCTGTGTGAATCCCCAGACTGCTCTGGCTGCCTGCCCCCTCCTCCCCCCTCCCCCAGCCATCCTTCCTGATGCTGAGGGGAGAGGAGGGGCTGTGGGGACTGCAGGCTGTGAGGGGGAGAGGAGAGCCAAACATATTTTAAATACACAGGCTGAAATGGGGTGTATAGACCCTCAGCAAGAAGTTTTATATTAGGCTGATTAGCAGTTGAGCTGTGCGTAATGTTTGCTGCAGCTGGAGGTGCCAGTGTTCAGATTCCTCTCGTGTTCTTATTTTTGTCTTTCTTATCTTTGGGCTTTCCTAATTACTCCTTGCAGAATCTATGCACATCATAGCTCCTTTAGCTGTATTCCACTCCTATTATACTGGACACTTGTAACATGGTAAAAATGTGTGAAATGTTCTATAATCTTACAATTAAATTCTAGTCCTTTGTGAGCCTGGTTCCCTAGGCTGTGTCCCTCACAAATATTTCCTAGCTTTTTCTCCCTCTTACATGAAAATGGAAGACTACCCTATGTTCACAGCAGCACAATTTACAATAGCTAAGATCTGGAAACAGCCTAGGTGTCCATCAGCAGATGTTTGGATCAGAAAACTATGGTACATCTACACAATGGAATACTATGCTGCCATAAAAAGAAGGAATTCTTATTCTTTGCAGCAACCTGGATGGAATTGGAGAGCATTATGCTGAGTGAAATAAGCCAGTTAATGAAAGAAAAACACCACATGATCTTGAAATAGGATGAATTCAAATTCTAAGCAAGGTTACAGGCAGAACTTCCTTTTTTTATTAGAGCCAGCCCTACGTGCACTTAGTGGTTATCTCGATGCTGGTCTTGAAAAACAATGCTGTTCTATCCAATTTAAAAAAAAGTGCACCTGGCATGGTATTGAGATTGTGGGTATATCTGGTCTCTGGCCTGCAAGGTCAGACAGCTAAGTTTATCTTCATCATTCTTCAAATGGGCTAAAGCAAACTAGAAAGCAACATTTTATCTATTAAGAACAGCAGAAAATTCCAAACAACAGTTTGTTGCAGAATGGGGGTTTTCCTTCTCAGAACCTTTTAAAAATAACTACCCGCCCTAAAAGCGGCGCAGTCATGTGGAGACCACCTGTGTGTGGTGCTCTCGCGTCTGCCCTGGCCAGATATTTCAATAAATTCTTTGCCTGCTTTTTTAAATTAATCATCAGCCTCTGGTGGCCTTATTCTGAACCCAGGGTTCGACCCCACAATAATCTCACTCATTTATGGATAATAAAGAACATTATAAACTGATGGACTAGACAGTAAAGCAACAAACAGACTGTCAAATTACAGCAGGAAAGTTAGGGGAGGTGGGGGAATCAATCGAAGGACTTGTATGCATGCATGTAAGCATAACCAATAGACACAAAAGTCTGGGGGGTGAGAGCATGTACGGGAGTGTGGGGGGGGCAATGGTAAGATATGTACACATATAATACCTTAATAAAAAAAAAGGAAAAAGAAAATGGAAGACTAGAGTGGGGTGGTTAGGAGGAATGCCTTTCCTTCAACAGAGATAAAGCTCTGGGAAAGTACTAGTATTTCCACTGCAGAGTAGGTCTTGTCATGGAGAAGGCTCCGAGTGTATTTCACAGGAGCACATTTCCCCTCCCACTGTGAGAGCCATCAAATCTTTCTGGGGTCTTCACTGTAAGAACCTGCTAGAGTTCCTGGATCTACTAGTAAAACCCATGAAACCTCTAAGCCTGCAGGCTGGGTTTCTCACTCTCATACTATTCCACACTCAGTCTCCAGCAATTTGTCAAATTTACTCTTTAAGTCTTCTGCCCTGCTTATGTTTCTAGCTGTGTGTGCTCTATGTAAGGACAGATAGGTTGTGACTCCCCAGATTTGTCTTTTCTCCAGAATTTGGGGGGGAGGGGTCATCTGCCCTGTGACATGTTTTCTTATGGGTCTAAAATAAGTCATGGGTTCTCAGTTTGTTCAGCATTTCCCCCCGTTTTCAGTACAAGAGCAATGACTTCCAAACTATTTACATGGCAACTGACATTGGAAAGCTGGCCTATGGATTTTAACCCTGTAGCTAAAGGTCAGTGAACAGCTTTTGTCCTATTCTCCTCAGCTGAACTTCAGATCTGAAAAATGAGAAATTATGTAATATTCTGAAATACCTGCATGTATCAGGTCTAGTTCCTTTTTAAAATGTCATCTAGTCATATTGGAGTAAGCTGGGATAAGTAGGGAAGAGTAGATGATAACTCCATGGTGGCTTTAATTGTCTTAATTGCTAATACATTGCCCTGTGCTGTTTATTACTATAACCTCAATACTTTGTTTTTTTGTTTTGTTTTGTTTTTTTTAAATATATTTTATTGATTTTATACAGAGAGGAAGGGAGAGAAATAGAGTTAGAAACATCGATGAGAGAGAATCATTGATCAGCTGCCTCTTGCACACCCCCTACTGGGGATATGCCCGCAACCAAGGTACATGCCCATGACCAGAATCGAACCCGGGATCCTTCAGTCCCCAAGCCGACGCTCTATCCATTGAGCCAAACCGGTTTCGGCAAACCTCAATACTTTGTAATACACTGTTTTGCCTACAATAACCAACCCCTTACTAAAAGAACATCATTTTTGTATAAGTATGCTTCCTTTCTCCTTGTAGTCATGTGTCTCAGGGAGGCTGATTCCAGTTCCAGGGTTGAATCTGCATTGTCTAGGGGCAATCCATTCTCTTGGTACTCTCTGGTTGAGGAAGGGTAGGGATCTAACCCTAACTCTGCACAATGAGACATTAGGAGAAGACTGCAGAAGAACAAAATAAAGTGTCGTCACTCATAAGAAAAGGCAATCAGGAAAAATCTTCTTTTCTTAGGAAGTTGCTTGACTCCTAGAATCATTGCAGCCATCAAGCTTCCAGCCTTCAGATGGAAGCTGATACTGTGAATGGCAGGAGGAGATAGAATAAACAACAAGTCCTTAGCTGAACCAAACACCCATCTAGGCTTCAGTATCTGAAATCATACATTTTCTTATTTAGTTTTCGTTCAGTTGTTATATAAAAATGGAGCAATCTTAAATGTATGCTCATTTATAACAATCTCATGTATGCTCAG